ATCCACACTTTACTCTGCTAAGGGGAAAAATCCATGTTTTACTCTCTTTTTCCGTGGGAAATGGAAAACCCAGATCCCTGGACATGTTTCTTTTGTCAGTGGAGAATGGATGACTGCTCCTTTGAAACTTAGAGCTGATGACCCCACATTGCTGAAGAGTGACCACTGCTGCCAGAGACAGGGGAGACCCTCACATCAGAAACTTTGCAGATTTTTTAGCTCGCTGGCTCAGGAAGAAGAAAAATAAAGGTAGGAAAGGAGAAAAAAAACAGTCTGGCATATAACCTAACAATACAGAGCATACTATAAGGCTAGCCTCTCTACTCATCTTCAAGCCTTCTCTCCTTTCCCAAGCATGTGCTAGTATATTGTGATGATAAAACCAAAGCAGCCAAAATTTAGCTGTGGTATGAACAGACCCATCTCAAGAACAGGTGACACTTCACTGACAAGATAGATTTCAAGTTTCTAGAGGCAATGCTAGAGCCAATATGGAAGCTGGCTCTCTTCTGTTGAAGCTCCCAAGTAGACAAATCTGAAAAAGTGCTAATATAGAGGGGAAAAATAACTCCATTAGAACATAAAATACAAACACAATTTTTCATCACAGCAACTTCCAACACAGTCACAAGCAGCCATATTACTAATTCAAAGCAGACTGAGCTTCTCTCTGTACTGGGTACAAAGACTGACCAAAAAGAAAATGTTCTGACCACAAATTTGGTCAGTCATACTTCTGACAAACCTCACCCCATAGCCAACACAGAATATAAGCCTTGCAATTTACTGAATACTATGAACATTGCCATTTGGATACAGACAATTCCATAGAAGAAAACTTACTGTATCCTTTCCATTTCAATTTAAATTGAATTCCTTAAGCAGGCTTATAATAATTAGTTCTCGCTCCTATCATAGCTGATGGTCTAACTTTGGACATTAACAATTATTTATTCTTGTCTAATTGGCACAACCTTTAGAAATAAAACAGAGGTGTTCTGATACCATGGTGATGGACCATAAGGACCTAGGCTGTTAAGATGTCTGAAATTCTAATCCATGTTTAATGTAAATCACCAGTTCTTTAGTTGAAAAAATATGTCCTTTCCTTATAGATATGAGAACAGTTACCAGCAATGCTGTTGAACTAAATGGTACTGTTCTTCAATACATTTGCATGCTTTAGAATAGCAGCCACTCTGGTACCTATCCTCCCTGAATTACTAAAATGCTATCAGATTTTATTAAAACCCCATCAAGGGGGAAAACTCAAATCACTTATTATGCTCCACAATTATTGTAAACCAAACTGTTTAAATGAGAGGAGGAGATAATGATATTAACTTCTCAACTTAAAGCAATCCTCTGTGGCATGATTCTAAAATATTCTTTTGGTCTGAAATTTATGTAAATTGAATTCATCTATCATTAGTTATTACCAGTCTAGCTACATAAAAACAGTTTTCTGTAACAATTAGTTCTTTAAAACACTGTGTTTTAATTAGACCTGGGACATTATTAAACTTAGTATAACATGTACGCTTTTATTTTTTATATCATGGTGCCTGGCAATCTCTGAGAGTACATGTTTTTGGGGGGGGTTCCTGGAAGAAGCTGGCTTGGGTTTTAGTTTTTTGGGGTTTTTTTAAAGCCACCTCCCCAACAAAAAACCTGTGAATCTAATTAATATAAAACAGGATCACCAATCAAAATAGATATTCAAATAAGCATGTTTGAATACCAGAAAATTACTTGCTCCTGGGCAAATAATTATATTTTACTATTACTCTATCATCATTGGCAGGGTCAGGGCCAGGTCTGGGCTTTATTTATGCACTTCAAGAACTCGACTTCATCTTTGACAAACAGATACCAATATGCCTTAGAACGTGTAACTGTATATGGGAACACAAGATTGGAAGGGGCTTCACAGGCCATCAGGTCAATTCCCCAAAGTGCACATGCAAGCTTTACCCAAAGACATCTGAAAATTGTCTAATTCAAACCTTCCCACATCACAACTACAGAGCACAACCCCCCATGTTTTGAAATGGATACATAAAAGGATATTTGAAGCAGTGTGTGGTGCTTGTAGTTTAGATGCAATGTGATGTCAAGAGTTGCAAAGTAGCAGCAAATCTCTAGATACCCAGCGTCCAGATGTAGGCACCTCTGTAAACAAGAGTGCTAAACAGCAGCCAGTAGTTTTCATTAACTTTTGAGAAGTTGGCCACTTTTCCATCCCTAAATTTAGATTTCTGAATAATCACCCTAACTTTATACAGAAAAAAATTATGGACCACATTCTGATCTCACACTGGTAAAAATAAGAAATAACTCCACAAAGAACAATATACTCCAGTACAAAACTGCAATTTACCTGTATATTCTGGACCCTACCTGACGAACACTTCCCTATGCCCTTAACATTATGTATGAGAATAGCCACATTGGGCACATCCAGATGAGCATGGACATGCAGTATGTGGCACCACAGACCTGTCTGCAGCACCACCCACCACATATGCAGGAGTTCCCCATGTTGCTACTTTGGCGGGGGGAATCCCAGGGTCAAAAAAACCCACACCAAAAAAAAGTGAGGTGGTATACATGGCTGCAGTGTGCACCGCCCAAAACCAAAGCCTGGCTCCCTGAGGCCCCCAGGTAAGGCTGCTGGGGCCAGCACAGTTGCTGGCCCCAGCCTCCCCTACCCCACCCAGGGTAACCTGCCGCACACTTCAAGGGAAACAAATGTCTGCGCTCTTCTGGATAAGCCCACTGAGTACAAAATTGAACAACTGCATGTACGTTTACCAGATAAGAGCCAACACAGTTCTATCATACTGTTCTATCTGTGATATACTAGATGCCATATATATACATGCTACTCCATGAAAAGTCACATTTTCAAGCTGCAACATGAAAGTAGGTTTCTGAATATTGGCACATATTAATTGACCTCTTAATTTAACTTTTTACAATAAATTTGATCTTAAAAACCATTCTGCACCATATTATTAGTTCATTTGTTGAACAGCTTTTCTTTTTTTTATGAGTATGTTAACATAAGAATGATCACTCTGGCATCTCTCTATGGCATATACACATGGCGAGAAGTCAAATCAGTGAGAAGAAGCAATCATACTATAAGGTTTTTTTAAAACTAACCAAAAGGCCTCAACTGTTTGCATATATAGAAAATAATGTATATTTGTAATTCTCTGCATCTCTAAACACCATATTATTTAAAAAAATGTTTTTCCTTTTTTCACAAATAAGTTTAACTGATTTAAGCCCTCCTTTGCAGTTTATTGTCTAACATTTTACACACCACTGCATCTACAAATTGTGTGAGAGATGTTTAAAGAAACAGTTACATTTTCAGCTGAATTGATCATCTTGTTTCTAGCTATTTCAGTATGTTCCTTAGAGACAGAGTAGAAGTGGCTTCAGTGCCAGTGAAATATGCTAAACAAATGACATGTCACTGAGTAAATTAGCATCTCCTCTCTGATCAGCTGGGTCATGTTTTCTTTTCAAAATCCATGGCCTCTTGATGGAAAATAATGATCATCTGATAGACCTCATTAGAAAAATCAATATATTGACACATCTAAAACATCTGCATAATAATAGATTGTGTTAACTCATTAAGGAAAACAATTAAAATTATTTTAGAATTATTCATTTACATTGATCAGAGATAATTTATAGGCTCATTTTCTTGAGAGTCTGATACAAGATAAATAAATAGTATTTAATAAAAAACTAAGGTAAAACAGGTTACGGACCACAACTTAACAAAATGACTAGCTAAACACTAACCCGTAATATACAAAATTACAATGTTACTACAGCACTAAGCATAAACATTGCATTACTTACCAAAAAACTTCCAAAGGCTGAGTTAAATATAGCAGCTGCCTGGAGAGAAAAGAGAGAGAGAAAACTATATGGTACTCTGAAAAAAACCCGTCATGTTCTCCAAACACACACACATACAACTCCCTCCCCACTAGGCAAAGTTAGCCCCTGCTTACAAAATTGCCAATGGCTCACAGCTTATGAAGACAGATGAGTTCCAGTTTATGAACTTATAAATAATGTGTTGCAAAAAGCAAGCAAAACAAAAAAGAAAAAAGAGAAGCTTGGCTATTTACAAACTTATAATGGGTACCAATCAAATCACCAACATACCACATGGAAAGTTGTCACTGATTCTGTTATAATTCACTAAGAATTTTACATAGTACTTGGGCAAGTAAACCTGAATAATTATTATGAACAATCAATAATTGACAGACTCAGAAGTTTCTTTAAATTGAACAATGAATTTCAAGTAGGAATAATGCATTAAAAGCAGAAAAACACAATTAATGCTATAGCCAAAATATTTAAGTATTTCCTAAGACTTACTGTTTTTGTAGAGGAGTAACTAAGCAATTGATAATACCTTATTAAGCCTTTTTGCTTACCTAAATATCCAGGAAATAAGGTGGCAGTATTAATCTCTTAACTTTAAATTACTTAATTCCAGGAATTTAAGTAAAAACTTAAGTCTCAAAAGCTTCCCCAATTACCAAGAAAGCATACAAAGTCTTGTATGGCATCCAGTTCAGTGATGAAAAGCCACGAGGCAAGTTACACAGGGAGCAGGGGTGGGGGGGACCTACCATGTACAAGAAGATCTACAGAGTCAAATTAATCACCATGGACATGTTCAGCCATAGATTAATAACAAGTGGATGCTAGCAAGTTGAGCAAGTTTGAATAAAGTCCAAATCCAGAATAAGAGCTGTAGCTGAACCTGCCTTCTGCTCCATAAGAAGATGCAATGAGAGTGAATGGGTAATGAGATCCCTGGCTCTAGAGAGCTTAGCTTTCTTATTCAAGTTCATAATTAATTCAAAGCTTTGATAATTTCATTAGATTCCTCCTCTGCTGGCCCTATCAATAAAAGATGGCACTGGACTGCAGCTCCTCAGTGGCCCAAACACAAAAACAAATGCAGACTGAGAAACCTTTGCTTACTTGCTTACTAACAGGGACAATGGCATATGGCACTCCATGTTGCAAAGGGAGCGTCTGAATAGATACAGCTAAATAAAACATTATAGTTGACAGTTGTAAACTACAGCGACATATTTTAACACTTCTTCCTCATCAGCATTTCTCTTTTGAACATAAAAAGGAGGCACCAGTCCAAATGGTTTCTTCTGCCAGGGAGCACCGTGAAAGAGTGTGCACCCAACTTATACTAATTCTTCAACAAGTTTAAACTTAAATCATGGTTTTTAGCCTACCCTCGAAACCTTAAGACTGATATATTCACATAACAAGAGATACAAAATACCTGTGCAGCAAATAAACTCTGCATATGATCAGCATAAATATGGGATATATTCCTGCATGCACCTTCAGTTTATAAACCCTCCAGATCATAATATCAGTATATTAAAAAAAAAAAAATCAGGTTTATCAAATCCTTTCAGGGTTTCTTGGACATTGGTCCTAAACTCTGCAGCATCTTGATGTCTCCCATCCTTTGCCAGCAGCAGATTACAACATAATCTCCTGAGTAGGGAAAATGTTTTAGCCTAAATATACTCATTGGGCAAAGTATAGCAGTTTCTCAGAGAAATATAATGGTGTGATACAGGTCAGACTAGATAACATAATGGTTTTCTGGCCTTTATCTTGAGGAAACTTGTGCCAGAGTTTTACAACTGTTTCTGGGAGGAAGGCTGTAAGCCTATTTCGGAACCAATACCACTATCCAGGAAAAAAGAAAAACAAAAAAAACCAAAACCAGCTGCCTGTCCTGACTAAGGTTGCTGACCTGACTATTTACATGTGCAACAGAAAAATTACCCAGAGGGAATCCAGTCCCCAACTGACCTGCCAACTAATTACTAGATAAGACTGGCATTCCATACAACCAGCCAACTCACGGCAAAGGCCACAGAATGACCTGCTTGCTTTCATGTCTTCCAGCAGGACATTCTCATAAGTAGCAGCTGTGCTGGCAAGTGGAACACCTGCCAGGCAAGCAAACAAGCTCCCCCACAGGGGCCTTTCTTGGGAAGAGAAAGTATGGAAGTTGAGAGAGGTAGGTGCAGGACTCAAATTTCAAGTGGGAAGGGAAGAGCATGGAATCACTGGGGGAAGGCATATATATATA